AAGGTCTTGGCTTCAGGCCTGGGCTGTGGCAGCTTGCCATGGTTTCATGTCTCTCCACTGCTGTTCTCGTCAATGTGAAACAGCAGACGGGCCCACCTGTGCTCATGTGGGGTAGATAGAGAAAGAGTTTTAGCTTGGGCTGTCGGGGTAGCAAGGAGGTCCTGGGGTTCAACTTTTCTCCCTTTTATTTTGAAAATCATTGCAACATTATCCCTGTCACATTTTGAATGCGTCTCCATCTGGCTGTGTTCAGTTGGGCCCGAGCTGTCGCCGCCTCAGGGAGGATGTTATGAGCAGAAGGAGGGAGAGGCTGTTCTGTGATTAAACTCTCACATCTGCTTCTCTCTGATATCATCAGATAGCTGTCATAGAAGACATGTAAAGTGGAGTTTTTTGTGGTAAGACGGCATCTGAAGGTCTGAAAAACCATCAGGGGGACAGTGGAAGGATGTGGAGGCTGATGGCTTTGTCACAGTGACGAGCAGGACAATGCTTATAAAGCCCCTGACGCCTTTTACTAATGCGCAGGATCTCATGCAACAGTACTGTTAAACCAGACATATGCATAAAACCAGGCTTGTGACAGCACATTTGTGTTATTAAGTGGGAACCTCACATCAGATGTTTTGCTGAATTAGACTCTTGGCCCCGGAGCGATGGCTATCGGAGAATCATAATCATAACTGCAATGCAAATTTCTTATGATAAGTTAGTCCCCTATAATCACTGCAGATCAATAAGCTGTCCAAAATTTGCAATCTAATTACCAGGAGGCGCCTCAATAATTCATTCAGCCTGGTTTGAATGGGAAACAAAACAGTGACTCCCCTGGCAGGCTGTCACCCACCTGACTGGGGCTGAAGTTAAGCTAACATGGGTGAGATCCAGAGTACAGAGAGCTCTGTACAGCTGCTTTACGGCGTCAGAGTCCGACTGACACCTGACCTCTAAGAAGTGGGTGTTATGTGTGTCGTAGCACAGTTTGTTTAAACCATTCAGTTTGGGTTTATTTACATTGAACGCCAGCCTTTCGCTGAGGTGTCCATATTCGTTTTATTTTCAGGCACTTATTAGAGTCTCCCCTCTGCATGAATTCAGCATTACACACAAAAAACT